TCGCGATCGTCGATGATATTCTGGTTTACGGACAAACCAAAAAGGAGCATGATGACAACTTGCATGTGATGTTACAAAGGTCTCGTGAGAAAGGTGTGAAACTCAACCCTGAGAAAAGCATTGTGAGTGCCACTGAAGTTCGCTACTTTGGTCACTGCTTATACGCTGAAGGAATCAAGCCAGACCCTGAAAAGGTCTCAGCAATCAAAAACATGGAGCCACCAAAGAGCAAAGCAGAGCTCGAAACAGTCCTGGGAATGGTAAATTATCTGTCCAAGTCTGCACCCTGCTTATCGGACATTAATGCACCACTTCGTCAGCTGCTCAAACAGTCCAGTGAGTTCATATGGGATTCCCAGCACGATGATGCGTTCCAAAAAATGAAAGCCCTCATAACTAAGGAACCTGGACCAGTACTTGCGTACTATGACCCCAGAAAGAACTGCACCTTCAAGTGGATGCATCAAAATATGGCCTCGGGGCAGTCCTGCTTCAGGACAAAAAGCCGCTCAGCTATGCCTCAAGGTCACTGACTGAATGTGAAGTTAGCTACGCTCAAATAGAGAAAGAGCTCTATGCGGTCTTATTCGGCTGCAAGCGCTTTCATCAGTATGTGTATAGCCGTGAAGTCATAGTGGAGTCTGATCACAAGCCGCTTGAATCTGTGATGAAAAAACCTCTAGCTGCAGCTCCGCCGCGACTTCAAAGAATGATTCTTCAACTCCAGAAATATGACATCACCATCACACACCGGCCAGGAAAGGAGATTCCAGTGGCGGACACCCTCTCTAAAAAGTCCATAAAGACAGAGCACGATCTCAGTGAAGGAATGGACATGCAGGTTCACATGGTATACAAAAGCTTACCAGTCAGTGACGCAAAGCTGCAACAAATCCGTGCCGAGACCGAATCAGACAGCCAGCTCGTCCAGCTCAGACAGGTGATCCTGGAGAGAGGAAGAAATGCCCCGCAGACATCAGTGATTTCTGGAACTTCTGAGACGAACTCTCACTGACCAACGGAATCATTCTCAAAGGTGAGAAAATAGTCATACCCACCTCACTCAGGAAAGATATGCTCACACGCATTCACGTCGGTCACATGGGCATAGAGAAGTCGAAGCAAAGAGCACAAGATGTGTTATTCTGGCCAGGAATGAGTAAACAAATAGAACACATGGTCGAAAGATGCGATACTTGCCTGGAGCAACGTCGTTCAAACACTAAGGAGCCCATGATTCCTTACGAAATACCAACCAGACCATGGCAGGTGATAGCTTCAGACCTCTTTACCTGGAATCACGAAGAATACATGGTTACTGTAGACTACTATAGCCATTTCATTGAATTGGACAAACTCAGCACCACCATGGCTGCCGCTGTCATCAGCAAACTCAAAGTCATTTTCGCGAGACATGGCATCCCAGAGAAATTTGTCTCCGACAATGGTCCACAATATCGAGACAAAGAGTTTGAAGACTTTGCAAAGACATGGGGTTTTCACACACCACCTCTAGCCCCCCATTACCCACAGAGCAACGGTTTGGCTGAGAAGACTGTGCAGATCGCAAAATCGATCTTGACAAAAGCCAAGATAGACAGGAAAGATACCTATCTCAGCCTGTTAGAATATAGGAATACACCTGTTGACAACTTCAAGTCGCCTGCACAGCTCCTCATGAGTCGCAGACTGCGATCCATACTGCCAACCACAAACAAGCAGCTCCTACCTGAAATTGTCAGTTTCATAGAAGCACACTCCAAAAGGGTAAAGCAGCGGCATCATCAGAAAAAGTATTATGATCGCTCATCTCATCCATTGTCACAGCTTCACACCGGACAATCTGTTCGCATACAAAAGCATGGCCTCTGGAAGCCCGTTGTTATTGTTCATCCTGCTAATACAGAAAGATCCTATCATGTTCGCACTTCAGATGGTCAGGTATATCACAGAAACTGGCGTCACCTTCTCAGCACAAAAGAGAAGCCCGTGGAGCCCTGCATTTCTGCAAACATTAAGGAGGAAGAACAAAACATCAATGCCCTCGTCCATGCTTCAGGTACCTGCTGAAGTAACAGCACAGCATTCAAAAGACAGACAGATCCAGCCCATACAATACCATACCAGGTCAGGTCGAGCAGTGTGACCAAGAGCAATTTGTGATTTGTAATTCGTCTGGGATGTAGGCGGATCACTGCCCCTATGAGAGAACGGAATCTAAAATCTGGTATGGGCTGTATGAGAAGAATGGACACTTTGTTCCCAAATTTTGTTGTATAGTGTGCAATAAGTGTCATATGTGTTGAAATGTTTTGAAATGCAGCATCCTCTGTGTTTATGCTAGAGTAATGTTCAGTTGTGGATTAGGTTGTACGCAGTGGATTAAAAAAGCTCAAAGTTTGTTTGGTACTCAGTCACTGTTCGTCTCCTTATTTAAAACTGCATGCACTGTGCACTGAAAGAAACAATCAAAGAACAAGACACAGACAGTTTAACACGAACCGACTCACTAAATGAATTCACTAGAATTACCAGCGCTACTTATGAGTGAGCCTAATTCGTTATAGGCGCAACATAAAGGTATTACGTTATGTCTTTGTAAAAATGCACTTAAACTATATATATATATACACACACACAACAGATCTTATAACCTTAAAAAGCTCAAAGTTTGTTTGGTACTCAGTCACTGTTCGTCTCCTTATTTAAAACTGCATGCACTGTGCACTGAAAGAAACAATCAAAGAACAAGACACAGACAGTTTAACACGAACCGACTCACTAAATGAATTCACTAGAATTACCAGCGCTACTTATGAGTGAGCCTAATTCGTTATAGGTGCAAAATAAAGGTATTACGTTACGTCTTTGTAAAAATGCACTTAAACTGTATATATATATATATATACACACACACAACAGATCTTATAACCTTTTGTAGTTTCGTTTTATTTCCCACAGCATTAGTAGCTTTGATTGGGTGGACCAGTGACACCCTGGCCTGTAGCATCGCCACTGATTCATGGTGTGATTTAATGCATTTTAATCCAGTACAATAATAAAGTATGATTATTCATACATAAGATATATATTCATCATAAACTCAAGAGCAAGCATTAAAACAGCCATGTGTGAGAATAAACAGTGCGAACCATGATACCTCAACATTGGTGTCAATGCACTTCCCAGCGGCAAACAGCTGCTCACCCTGGATTAATAGCAGTATGTGGCAAATCAATTAAATAATGACAGTATATCAGTGTGATGGAGCAAAAGCCTTGGAGCAGACACTCCAAGGGCATGTTTATTTTCAGGAGCAGATATTTGGTATAGCATTTATTTGATTATTAAAACAAAACAAATCAGTAAAAGGTGTCTATGCAATATAATGATTTAAAAGTGTAGTTTGTTTCCATATAATCATTTTCATTACTAAATGCACAAATGCATGTTATTGCATTAACATACACATGAAAAAAGCTATTCTTAAAGAAACACACTATAAACTGGATTCCCTTTTTGATTTGGTCCAAGCATGTGTAACATCTTTTAAAAATGTAAAACATAATTTTAAAATACATTAATTAAATAATACAAGTATAAATGTAGGCACATCGTTTGATCGGATGAGACTAAATCTCTAATATTAACCAAGATGAACAGGTATAATTACAACAAAGAACATCACAGACATTTACCTGGGAACTGGAATTATTCGGCACTTAAACGGAATCACTGGGGTTCAATACAAGAAAGAAAGAAATTATTTGATATTATATACTGATCATATATCGTATGACTACCTCTGCCAGAACACTCCACAAAATGGGTTGGATTTTATGCAACTGAACGATCACATAGCTCCTTTTATCAAGGTAAAAGCGCATTCACAGTGTCAGTATTTTTCTACTGAGGGCCAGAAAAAGTCTAACTGACAATCAGTGTTTGATTCAAGAAAATAGATCTTTAGAAAATGCTAAAAGTCCATTTATTGCACTTCCTTGCTTTCAAGAATTGTTGAGAAGAAACTGGATTAGAGCGTCTGACTTTATCTTCTTCCGTAAGTACCATGTGTACTTGTCCAAGCATGTGTAACATCTTTTAAAAATGTAAAACATAATTTTAAAATACATTAATTAAATAATACAAGTATAAATGTAGGCACATCGTTTGATCGGATGAGACTAAATCTCTAATATTAACCAAGATGAACAGGTATAATTACAACAAAGAACATCACAGACATTTACCTGGGAACTGGAATTATTCGGCACTTAAACGGAATCACTGGGGTTCAAGACAAGAACGAAAGAAATTATTTGATATTATATACTGATCATATATCGTATGACTACCTCTGCCAGAACACTCCACAAAATGGGTTGGATTTTATGCAACTGAACGATCACATAGATGGACTTTTATGTAGTCAGCACGCAAGCACCGCCTATATTAGGTCTCAAAGCATGCCTGGACCTGGATTTAATTAAACTAGTGCTCTCAGTAAATGCACTTAAAGAGGACAAGTCCATCCTGGAGGAATATGATGATGTCTTCGATGGCATTGGATTATTTCCAGGGGAGTGCACAATCCATTTAAAACCCGATGCAACTCCAGTTGTTTATCCTCCAAGAAGGGTACCTCTGGCCCTATGTGGTAGACTGAAAGAAGAGCTGCAAAATATGGAGAAACAAGGAGTCATAGCAAGGGTAACAGAGCCCACCGACTGAGTAAATGCACTTGTAGTCATGGAAAAACCGAGAACCCGCAAACTCAGAATATGCTTAGATCCCCGCGACCTCAATAAAGCCATCAAGCGTCCACACTACCCCTTACCAACAATAGAAGACATCACGCCCAAGCTTACGGATGCAAAGTACTTCAGTGTTTTAGATGCCTGTTCAGGGTACTGGGCAATAAAATTAACAGAGGAATCGCCCAAGCTGACAACATTCAACACTATATTTGGACGTTACAGATTTCGGCGTCATCCACCATTTCTGTATACAATATGTGCTATAAATGACCAGCTATATGCAGAAAAAGAGAATGGTTTAAATTATGAGAGTTTAACGCACCTCTCTGAGCAGTTAATGAGTTTAAGGATATGATCAACACATCCTGCTCAAGAGCATCTGATCAAATTCAGCAGCAACCGCAGGACTGCTTATGATCTGTGCAATATGTCGGGACACAAGCAGAGCTATTCGTCATCCCATATGAAGCATTGATCAAAAACCAACAAATTCCCTTTGAAGGAAAAACCTCAAAACACAAGTTAGATACTTTTACATCTTGTGTATCCTGTTCCTCATAAATATTAAATTTATGATTGCCCTTCATTTGGTTGTAATGTTTAATAAATAAACAATGCCGAGTTTGGTAAATCTTCTTTGAGGGTATATATCGCTACCTCCTTGTCATCTTGAAAATAATCTAAACTGAAGTTTGGAATTTAGGGACAAACTTTTTTCTAAATTAAATATTCGTCCTTGCCTGTCTTCAGGAAAATTGGGTATGGCTTAATTTCTGTGGTTCAACCGATATCCTGCTGTCAATGTCCTTTTAAAGGGGTCGTTTTGGGATCCCTGGTCCTTTAGTTGCCTGGCACTGAGAGAATGTATCCCGATCGGCTCTTGGTGAAGTCTGGCTGTGATTGGTTGATCTTGGTTTCCACAACGACAGTGCACTTCCTTCCATTCATACTGCAGTGAATGGGGCTGACAATGTTCACCTGTAGCTTCCTCTTCTCACTAGAAACAGAGAGAGAGAGAGAGAGAGTCATTGAAATATTCCATATGTTTTTGTTTTTGTTTTGGTCCACAGAGCTCTGTGTGCTTGTCGCATCTGGTTGGTTGGTTGGTTGGTTCTGGGTGGATGGGCATTTTACGGCAAACTCGCTGAGGGGATCAATGAAGCACAAGAGTAATTGGCTGAGAGAGAGCAGCTGGGTTTTTAGAGAGGGGTAAATGGAAAAGTAAAAGTTCAGCTGTATCACACACACACTCTGCAGTTGAAGTCAATAGCTCCAACCACTAAAAGCCTCGTTACACCTAGTAAACCTATTAGCTCCATTTATGCATATATATCCTCACATTATATTAGAAAGCTGTTTTGATAAAGCCATTCTGAACATTAAATTATATTATTCCGGGTTCAGTAGTACACATTAGGCTCAATTGACACTTAAAGCATTGAGTTACCACAAAGATGAATTTCTACTTGTCTCGTTTTCTATAAAAAGCAAAAATCTGATTTACAATGAGGCACTTACAATGGAAGTGAATAAAGGTGCGGTCACAGTTACCATTGCTCTGCAAAATTTTGTGTGGGAAATCCAGTCATTCCAATAGGAACCTGTGCGATCAGAAGTTTCGCATGAGGGAAAAAAACTTCCCATGCAGGTTTCACTCATTTTCAAGTTGGTTACATGAATTTGATGCATTGACCAACAAAAACCTGCTTTTGAAAGTGACTTCAGTGTGAGCTGTGCTTTATATCTCTCTGTTATTGACAATAGACAATTAATCTTTTTTGCTTGTGAAATTTCACAATGTGAGAACACCTTAAGGCAAAGCTGTAGACTTTTAAAATAATGTTTTTTTTTTCAATAGTGTAGCCACACGACATAAACATGTTAACATGATATTAGTGGAAAAACTAGTTTACTAACCTTTTCTTTGTATATTTTTATACAATGTTTCATTGTCTACCTTAAAATGATCATAAAAACAATGACAGCAACACGTTTTCACTGCAGAGATGTAATTTTCTTTTTTTAATTATAAACTTTATATTTCTGTTTTTGAATCATCTAAAAATTGTCCCCATTTACTGTCATTCTAGGTGTCTAACTGTTATTTTTTAAGAAAATGAGGTACGAGTTGAAATTAATTTGTCACAAATGCTGTCGATTGACTTTAATGTAATGAAACCAGAACATTGTTTATACCCTGAAGAATCCCATCTTCCCAAAACTAATTTGTCTGCTCATTGAACATTGAAAACATTATTAAAGATTTTATGTGTTCATTATAGTAGAACCATAATAACGCAATCATTTTTAAATCAGAAGTCTGATTTAGAAGGGTGACCTTCACCAGGAAGCTTTTGTAAGAAATCGTGCAGATGATAAACCCCCCATTAAAAAGCTCTGGCTCCATAAGTTACTATACCAGCAGGTTGCTGCGCCAGATGTTTCTATGGCAACCCAATGAACCCCATCATGTGGTTGCTCCAGTCTCAACCAGCATCAATCTCTCACATTATTCACAATCATTTCAAAGGGTTGGAAAACCCTGGATTTACTCAGTGCATATAGTATACAATTCCTTCAACTTCCTGTTGAGGCAGGAATGAAAGGTTAGTCGATGAATTGCATCATTGCTTGATGAATTGTGTAGTTGATTTTAGCAGCAGAGAACGGCATGAAAACGGTAGATTTCCCCATACTGAGAGTCTCTCTGTGAGCCCGAATCTCTCACACAGTGCTGGGGAGCAGACAGCTCTGCATGGCCCATTGGAAAATCAATTCTTTCCAGCCCTCCTCTCCTCTGAGCCTGTGCCCTTCACGCCAACTGACTCACCACCTTTGAGGCCTGCTCTGCTACCCAGAATAGAAGGAGTATTAAGGGAAGGTAAAGGGGGAGGGGAAGTGAGCACTCAGGAGATGCAGAAGTAAATACCACTGAAGTCCAGTTGTCTAGTGTCAGACAGCATCACGACTGTGTCATATATCTGTATATTTTCACCCGTTATTGTGCGATTCATCAGTTAGGGGAAATTTTCTAGGATAAATTGAATAAGTATGCACCTTTATGAAGACAGTTTCTGATTTCTATAGCTGTAAAACGACACTAACAGACACTAACAGAAAAATATATGAATATCTTTGCATTATACAACAAAATTTCAAACCAAGTAGCATTTATTTTAAAGAACGATTCCACAAGCATGCTTTCCAAGAAAATATTGCACAAAAATAAGTGTTATATTTAAAAATATTTACAGTATATAATTTTAAACAAACTTTGATGTATGTACATATCAAAACATTTATGTAAAATTAATATATAAATACACATATTTAGCACATAAATAAAGAATATATATACTACTGTAATAATATACTACACCTGTAGTTATTCTGTTTGGGAACTAGTTTTTTTTGAGAGAGAGAAAAAAATATCTAGCATCATGTTTGTAGATGTCACCTGCGTTCATGTTATATTTGAGGGATTCACAACATTTTTTGTCATCCGAACCCACTAACATTAAATACTTTTTTGAAGAACTCCCTAAAATTAAGGTTAAATAGTTGTATTTTTTTCTGTTTTTCTAAATATTTCCTTTTATTTTTAATTATGATTTAATTAGCTTTTCATCAACTCACAAATCCCCTGAAGTTTTATTTAAAAGGGTCCTATTATGCTTTTTCAACTTTAGTTAGTCTGTAATGTTGCTGTTTGAGCATAAAAAAGATCTGCAAAGTTACAAAGTTCAAAGTCCACTTCAAAAGGAGATATTTTATTTAAAGGGGTCATATGATGTTGCTAAAAAGAACATTATTTTGTGTATTTGGTGTAATGAAATGTGTTTATGCGGTTTAAGGTTAAAAAAAACACATAATTTTCCACATACTGTACATTATTGTTTCTCCTCTATGCCCCTCCTTTCTGAAATGCGTAGATTTTTACAAAGCTCATCGGTCTGAAAAAGCGAGGTGTGCTCTGATTGGCCAGCTATCCAGTGCGTTGTGATTGGCCGAATTCCTCAAGCTTGTGACGGAAATGTTACGTCCCTTACCATATTGTGATGCCTGCGGCAACCACATGTGACGACCCCAGGCTGGACTCCGCTTCGTCCACGGTGAAAGCTGATCCGGCAATCGACAGCGCAAAGTTGAAGTATTTCTTCAGCGACCAGCACGGATCAGCTCCAGGCATGACGAATTTTGGCCTTCCTCTTTTGGAAGGCCAAACAAAGTAGTTTCGCTTTCACAACGAAGCACACAGCGCCTTCACGACATGGCGGCGGCAGCAACAATACTACAGCGAGAATAAAAGTTACACCTTCTTTCTTTGCGTGAACATTTGGGCGGTGTTATGCAAATCTTCCCACATCGTGAC